GGGGTGGGGAGCCTGGCAGCCCCCTTCCAAATTGGCTTTTTTTTTCTGAATTTTTAATTTTTCAAATTTTTTTGCAGCATTTTGCACAAAAACCATTGCAATGTCTTGCAGAAAAAATCAACTGCCATGCTCCCCCCACTTTTCTTTTTTTTTTTTTGGCAAAAATAGGGGGGCTGAGGCGAGGTTTTTGCAGGTTTCCCGGTGCCCAGCGGCCCCCCGGCCTAGCCATCGCCTGAGCAAGGGGTGGGTGGGGAGCACCCGCTTGCACGCCGCTCCTGGGCACCAGGACACGCGTGGGGCAGGCCCGTGGGCGCGGGTGGGTGTCACTGACGTGGGTGGGTGGTGCACACGTGGGTGGGAGCATTGACATGGCTCGGTGTGCGTGCACACGCGTGTGCGTCTTCATGTGAGTGGGTGTGTGCGCACGGGTGTGCAGAGACGGGTGTGCGTAGGTGAGGGACTGCACACGAGTGTGTGCACATGGGAGCGGGTGAGTGCGGGCGAGCGTGCGCACGCGTGGGTGGGTGCACACGGGTGGATGTCGGCGTGTCAGCACACCGGGGGGCACCCAGGTGTGTGTGCACACCTCGCTGGTGGGAGCACGTGGGTGGGTGCGTGCGAGGGGAGCGGCTGGCTGCCCGCCCGGGTGGGTGCACACGGGTGGGTGTCGCAGCCTGCGCGGGGCCCCTCCGCGCCTGCGCTTTGTCCCGCGTGGGGCCGGAGCCGCCACCGCGGGCACGGAGAGGGCGTCCTCGGCTTGTTTCGGTTTGGCGAGTGACTCATTTATGGCACGCGTTCCACGGCTGAGGCATGGCGAGGACCCACGCGCCCGCGCAGCACACTTACCCCCCCCGCGGCCGCGCTCCTGCCTCCCCACGCAGGGCCAAACCCCGCGGGAGAAGGGGCTGTCGTTAACCCTCGCTGCTTTTCTGCTGGGGATTAATTTTTACATCGCATCCCGGCGCGGAGAAATTAAATTATTCGTTTCAAATACTTATTCCACTCCCGGGCATGTTTTTCTCCCACGGAGGAGCCGCACCTCGGGGGGAAGCAGCGATCGATCCCACGGCAGCCCAGCGCCCGCTTTGGCCGCAGCCTAATTCGAGCTGCGTTATTATCTTCTTTCTTTTTTTTTTTTTTTTTTTTAAAAAAAGGGGGAAAAAATAAAAATTA